GCGACGTTTGCTGCTTATGAATTGCGAGCCGGAAGATGCGGCGAATGTCGCGCCTCTTAAAGATGAGGCGTCTACCACGGCGTTTGGCGCGAATCGGTGCAGCTTGCTGCTTCCACAAGTTTCTTATCGCTTTCTCGCTTCGCTGTAGAGCATTCGCAATCCAACGGTTTGATTTTTTGAGAGATTTGTAGGCCTGGGCCTGGCCAACCTCGTGGGGGGTTAGTCTTGCCCCTCTGGGCATTGTTTGGAAGTGAAGGTGTCGCCATGATGCATGTATGTCATCAGCGATGTGTCTGCTTTAATTTAATGCATTTTGTAGGCCAATCAGAGCATCCCATCACGAGTTATACTCGAAAATTGCCAGTGCGGCCATAGTTTTGCACCAGCCAAAAAACGAGTTTTTTGATTTTCTCGGAATACGGTTGACTTCTGCGGATGATTTAGGCGTCAGATATTGGTCAAATTAAAGGACGTTTCGAGTGGTAGCATTGGATTTCTTGTTCGATTATCATACGACTGTCTCCTCCACAAATATTGGGTGCGGCTATAATTTTGTTCCAGACTGTATCTAGGTTGGGGTTTGATTTTTAAAATGAGCCTTACATCATACAAATTGTAATATAAATTAGAAAATTAAACAGTGGAGAAGCGGAGCTGGCTATATAAATACACCGCCTATAACGGCACCAGAAAAATCCTTTGCCGCGTCCCCCGCAAGTTCCACAGCCGACGACGACATGGCCGCCAAGCAGAAAGACCTCATCGGACGCCCTCTCGTTCCATACTTCACGGACAAAGGACATGTTAATGCTTCTCTACAGATATCCAGGTGCGTTATGAGCTTCCCTAGCGTCAATCGTCACCATCGACCTAACCATGACAGCAGGGACATGGCTCACGAACCCATGGAGGTAGATGCGCGAGTCTGGAACGCATCCCAGGGTTATTTTGAGTACCCAGACGAGCAACCACCACACTCTCCTCCTCCGCACGCATCATCATCCTCCGTCCCAAAAGCAAAGGCCGGTGGCCTCTTGTTGACACCGCAACGCTTGGTAAGTCGTCAACAGGTCTCCAGCTATTCCCACTCATGGCCTCTCGCACTGACGCGAAGGGAACTTCGATCAAGGAAGTGCGCGGCCAGTCGCGAGAAAAGACGCCGCCGCCAGCACCAATTGTTGCCGCTTCCCCTTCGACCGCTTCGCCTGATCAACCTGGTAATGGCATCCCCATCTGCGCTTGTTCCTCCAGCACCGTTTCACCGTGCATATAGCTCCGTCAAAGAAGAAGGGCAAGAAATCTAGCCCAAACAACGACAAGCAGACTAAGAACAGCAAGGCATCCGCCTCTGCCCCGGCATCGAAGTGGGCATGGTCTGCTTTTCAAAACTCGCCCGACCCCAAGTCGTTGCCAATTCCACCGTTTCTGTCGCCGCAGATCTTGTCGCATGAACCTGAACCGACGCCTCGCATGGCGCCCCTGAATCTGAACGTGATGGACAAGAAGCCGCCTCCGCCTTCCAAACCGCCCAACCCCCAAGTGACGATCTTGCAGCGACCGAAACCGAGCGAAGAGCAGATGACCCAGCAACTGCGCAAGATGCTCAACATCGGAGGAAGCGATGGGTAGAGAGGGATGGGCATGAGAACGTCTGCTTGGGTGCGCTCTCGTGGGTTCCGCATGGTCGTCGTGATCAGGATGTGTTGTAAGCACGAAGAAGCGCCGTCTGGAATTGCATCTGATTTCCCTCTCTTTACGCACTGCCTGGTCGATGGCTGTTCTTTATTCCGAGTTCATTTACTTGACGTGTCACGTTGTATGGTTGCAACGTCAGGAATTATTTAAAATGGATAAATGAACCATCGTCTCCCTCGCTATAGCGGCATCACAATGATCGGTCACGAAGACGGAAAGTGCATTATTTCGGCGACACATGTGGGTAGCCAACACTTGAAGTTTGTATACCACTTCAAGAACAGTTCAACGGCGAACCGTGACTCAAAGCCCATTTTCTGCATTGCGCACCAGTGCACCATGCCGTCACCCAAGCGACGACAGCACGAAGGCATCGACGCGATGAAGGACAAGTACAAGGTGCCAAAGGAAGAGATTCTTCATCTGAAGCGAATGCTGTTTGACTTGGAGAACACCCGCAAGCGTTTGGAGAAAGATCGAGAACATGCCCGGTATCACGACTCGCCGTTGTCATGGGTTCATGTAGCGGAAGCGATCAAAGGAGACATGCTCGACTTGTCGTACGTGAATCGAGGACTCAAGAAGGCTATCCAGACGCACACGCAGACTGCCAACTTGCTCGCGTTGTGGGTGTCGCATCTGTCGCTTCACGCTCCCGTCCCGTCCTCGGCACGGGAAATGTGGCAGAGCAGCCACTTGATGCTAGGCGACTCGCAATTGAGGAAGACTGCATGCGAGTGGATTTCCAAGCAGATGATTCACAACACGCCTTGGATGATGGCAGAGATTCCGTTTGCGTACGATGCCGACGACGAAATTGAGGTCGAGGTTCGCGACAATTGCGAAGGGGTCAAGGTGATGGCACAGTTCATGCTACCATATCCACTCGATCAAGTTCGAGACGCGGTGTGGAAGGCGGAAGAGTCGTTCTGCTCGACCCTGCTCGACCTATTCGAATCCGACACGGTACGAAACATTCGCCGTCGACAACGGGCATGTGTGACCTGCACCTTCGTAGTTTATGTGCGGCAACCAAATGACGTATGTCCAGGAAGTTCTTGGCCACCGAACTTGTCGCTTTCAACTAAAGACTCTGAGCTACCTCAGCTCTGGGGAAGACAAATCGATCATGTCGATGCGAACGATCTTGCAGGACGACGCGCATCCCATCGACAAGAAGACGTGGATGATGGACGTAAAGGTGTGGCACGTCATGGAGAAGTGTGGCGCCGACATGACCCGTGTGCGAAATTACTTCACGATGAGTCTACCGTTCACCAAACGAGGGTTTGTGTCGATCGAAGACTTTGCGCGATTCCAAGATATCCCGGATGTGGACAAGTACAGACTAAATACGCGACTGCTCCGAAACAAAGTCAAGCAACAGAGCCGCCTCGGGCACATACAGCAGCGGTGGCAATGGAAAAGGCACGTGTTGCACATGCTGCATGAGCGAAATCGGGGCTCGCCCTCACCGTAATGCAAAAGTCGTGTTCCATTTCGACATTCCCATGAGGATGGTGTTAAGCCGACTCCATGGACGATAGCTCGACCCCTGGAGGCAATATCTGGACGTCTGCCCCCGGCTTCCACTCGATTCGGGGAAGCCGTGCAGGGACTGCACGTGGTATCGAACATCGCGAATTCCAGGACATTCTTCGAAAGGCGCGAATGTGCGCACCGACGCAACGTGCCACACAGCACATGCAACGTCACAGCGTGACCACAGCTCCCTTCAAGCGCGGACGGCATGCGATGGAGACCATAGCATGGTTTCGAGATGCGCCACGTCGGCCGCGAGTGGCACACCGGCGTACGGTGGCACCATGCATGTGTACCGTGTTGCGCGAGAAATTATTTCAGCGCCTGAGAAACGCAAAATAAAGTGTATGGGAATACTTGATGTTTGTATGTAGTTTTTAGAAAACAGTTGAAACAAGTGTTCCCACTTGGAACACCCAAGGAAGCGGCCATGCCCAAGCCAGCGACGACGACGACGAGCCGCAGCGAGCGACAAGCGCAGGATCCCGAAGGATGGCATCTCTTACCCCAAATGCACCGTCGTCGACATGGGGAACAGCCTCAGACGCTAGCAACAATCGCGCGGTACCACTCTCTTGGACGCACATGGCGCACACGTTTTACAGCAGACTCGACTCGAGGACGAAGGTGAAAGTCCAAGCATCGGTTTACTCGACGCTTCTCGAGGTATTCGAGACTGAGGTACACCCTTTCCATTGGCATGTCTTTTGGATATGGTAGTAAGTACACTAGGGACAGCTGGATGACGTGCGTCAGCCCTTGCCGTACGAAGACATTGGGGTACCTCGACTACGAATGGCAAGGACACATCGACTCGATTTGCAAGATGACACTCGTCCAACGGACAAGATGGTTTGTGGCACATGGACACTAGGAAGTGGATTGTCATGGACTCGTTCGTTCACGACGCAGGGTTTGTTCTGTTGGAAGAGTTTGCCCGCTCTCAAGAGCCTCCGAACCTGCGCGCGTGGGGCTCCAGACAGATCCTCGGCGCGTCATGCTGCGCCGTGGAATGGCACGCGGTGGAGAAACCCCGAAACCCCCAACAGCGTCAAATATCTCACCACTCCCAATTCCCCCAGATCAAGAATTTACACCATGCGAATTCATCGTGATCGTCGTGGCACCAACACATCTTGCCACGCACATGCCGCGGGCGTCGCGCCGGTGAACACCCATCGATGAGCTCATGCAACGGGCATTACGCCGTCGAACGGGACGACACCGCATCGTCGAGCCTATGCAACAGGTTTCACCGTGCAAAGTCGGCTATATCGGGTACACGAGGGTGAGATATTGTGACCGGTGGTGCATAAACGCGTCCTGGGCGACAGAAGCTTGAAATTTGTATACGTCGCGCGTGGGTGGTTGTACCAGTTCAACATTTCTCGCGATGCCACCGAAAAAGCAAGGCGCAGAGGAGAGCGCCGCCGCCCGCTTCGGCCGCGTCCGCAACAACTTGAAGATGGGTCTTGTCGGTCTGCCCAATGTGGGCAAATCGTCCCTGTTTAACCTCCTCACGGCACAGAGTGTTGCCGCCGAGAACTTTCCGTTTTGTACCATCGACCCGAACGAAGCCCGTTGCGCGGTCCCGGATGAACGCTACGAATGGTACCTCCTTGGTTCTCATGCGCGCGTGGGAAATCACAGATGGCGTCTTGCCGGGTAGGCTGTGCAAGGTGTGGCAGCCGCCGAGCGAGTACCCTGCGTACCTACAATGCACCGACATTGCTGGGCTCATTCGTGGTGCTTCCGAAGGCGCTGGGCTCGGGAATGCATTTTTGTCGCACATTCAAGCCGTCGACGGTATTTTCCACGTGATCCGCGCTTTCGAGAGCGAAGAAGTCGTACATGTCGACGATACGGTGGGCGACAATGCAATTCCATGTGGCAACGGCTTACTCTGGCGGGACCAGGTCGACCCGATTCGTGACTTGGAAACCATCCAAGGCGAACTGTGCAAGAAGGATCTCGCGTACGTGTTGGCGCAGCGCAAGTTGCGCGAAGTCGACGTTCGCAAGAACCCCACCATGAAGCTGCCCCCGCTCTTCTTCACGTAGGCCCAACTCCTCCCGATCGTGTGCTGCATGAATGAGCGTAGGGTCATGGACACGGTCCAAGAACTCCTTGAAGCCAACAAATCGATCGCATCCAAGAGCGATTGGACCGCCCCCGAAGTGGAAAAGATCAACGAGCTGATCCCGGGTACGTGCGGCCGCCTCCGTGTGTGTGATTTCATGGTTGCAGCTGCCATCACGACCAAGCCGATCATCTACCTCGTCAACTTGACCAAGCGCGACTTTATCCGCAAGGGCAACAAGTGGCTCGTTCCGATCAAGCAGTGGGTCGACTCCCATGGCGGCGGCGTCATGATTCCGTTCTCTGTCGAGTTTGAACAAGAATTGTGGGAAAAGCAAAAGGCCAACAAGGAGTTTGTGCCCGAAGTGCCATCCGTGCTGCCCCGCATCATCAAAGTCGGGTACGTCGACCGACTTGCGGTCGCATCTCACGACGACAGTCCAGGTACAAGCAACTCAACTTGATGTACTACTTCACGGCCGGGGACAAGGAAGTGCGATGCTGGACCGTGCGGAAAGGTGCCACGGCCCCGCAAGCTGCGGGGGTCATTCACTCGGACTTTGAACGGTGCGCGCGTGCCCTCTGAATGGACTGCCAACGTCTTTTATGTAGAGGATTTATCAAGGCCGAAGTCGTCTCGTTCGACGATTTCAAGGAATTGTCGGAAGGAGACAAGAAGGGCATGGCCAAGGTCAAGGCCGCGGGCAAGTACCGCCAAGAAGGCAAGACGTATGTCGTGCAAGATGGAGATATCATCCACTTCCAGTTCAACGTGACCAACAAGAAAAAGTAACATGGCGCAGGAGGACGGTATTGCACAATAGAGGTATGTTGTCTGGAGGACGTTTTCGTTGCAAGGTGGCCCAACGATGGGGAAAGAAATACCGATGGATGTGCGCATACAATTTGCTCGGAATGCCGCGGTAGTGAGGCACAAGCTGATGTCGTCGCGGTTGTCGGTCAGTGACCTCCAGCATCGTGGAGCGCATGGCCAAGGCGTTGGCACCTACGACTGCGACACTCAATTGTCCTCGCACATCTGCAACCACCCCCAGAGTCGTTGGGCGAGCTCGGGAGGGACAAGCCGGCGGGCCGTTGGGGGTGAGGGGTGCGCTGTGCGTGTCATCAATCAAGCAGCGTGACAGGTTTGTTTGGTAGTGCACGTGGCTGAGGCCGCACGCGAGGCCAGCAGGCCCGATTTGCGTCACTGCTCTATGTATTATCAGTCATTAATCGCGTTTTACTGACAATTTCATTGTGCGCATTGAATTATTTCGCGGACTGTATCTTCCCATTTAAAGTTAAGTATCAACTCGACAAAGTCCCTTGTGATGTCTTTTGGGGCGAGTGAACTTGGCACACCCATCGGCTGTATCCCGATGCATATTGGACTTGACGAAGCCCACCGACACGTTCGCGGTTCCAGTCAAAGCCCAGACTTGCCAAAGTTTGCTTCATCATTGGAAGAACCACTCTTCGGTATCTCAACAGCACGTCCTGCAACTTCCTCGCTTCATCTGCCAATTCCACCTCGTCCAAGTCTTCGGTCTCGAGTCGATGCACGATTCCTTCGAATGCTGCGTCCGTGTCCAAGCGCGGGGCAAGTCCATGGATCGATTCCAATGCACTTGCGATTTTGGCCATGTGTTGGGTATCCTTCAAATCAAACTGAAACCCGTCCATCGTCACACCCAACAGAGCCGCCACGCACAGAGCTTTCCGCACCGCAGAGCTGGCGTTCAAAATGGGCAACATCTGCCGGATCTCGTCCGATGCTCCCACCACATGCAACGAGGCGTCGCTTCGAGCAGCTACTTCGTCCTGGGGCTCGAACCGGCCGCAAGATGAAATGCACCACTCGCACTGGAAGACAAGGCGAAACCGCATTCGTCCCAGCTTCGACGGGTCGCATTTCCCCAGTTTCTCAGTGGCGTCCAACGACCACAACATGGGCAGTTCCCACGGCTCTGGCGCGGCAAACTCCGTCATGGCAACTTCTCGTGGTTGGGAGGTACTGTTGATCGAGTGGCTATGGCGCTCTGACGTGACCTCGTTCGTGTCGGAAAGGGCGTGACTGGGCCATGCACCGATGAGAGTAGGATTGGAGCCGAGGGGCGAGGGCGATGCAGGTGTCGTACTGTGAGTTGTCGATTTGACTTCGAGCGCCTTGAGAATGTCGCGCAAGCTACCCGTTCGCTTCGACTCGTCCGGCTCCAAGCACATGAGCAAGTACTTCTTTTGGCGGTTGTTCAACGCAGCCACTTTGGCCAGACTCTGGCGGAACGAAAACCCCGGTGCCGCGAGAAGTTCATAAACTCCGTCGCCTCCGACACCGTTAAATTCTTCCAAATGCCCGCCGTCCAGAAACAGACGGAGCACCAGCACGCCAAAGCACCACACGTCAAACTTGGATGACGCCTCGATGGTCAGGCCTTGGCCCTGCAGCATGCATCGCGCCATTTCCGGCGGACAGTACTCGGGGGTGCAATGCCGAATGCGCGACCCAATCTTCACGGTGTGGTCAAAATCGATCAGCTTGTACCAGGTGCGATCGCTAAAGTACACGACATTTTCGAGCTTGATGTCGCCATGGATGAGTCCTCGGTCATGCAAAAAGAGGACGGCTCGGGCGAGCTTGTCGATGCAATTCAGTTGCAGGAACGGCCGCTGTTGAAGCATGTGGAGATGGTCCAAGTCCACCGTCAACCCTTGCTCCATCACGATGGCAAAGCACTTCGCATTCCTCGCTAAAGCCACGGGGATGATTTGGACACAGTCGACAACGTGGAGATCGGCATCGTGGTGGTGGCCCATGCTCTTATAGAACTCCACTTCTCTCTGCTTGTCGGTGAGCTTGACCACCAGTTTCTTGCACTTCTTTGCGGTGCTTTCAGCCTTGAAGATGCAATGGTTGCATTCGTTCACGAGGTCGGTTACCAGGTTGTATGTGTCGGACAAACGCCACCTCTTTGGAGTTCCTAGTTGTGACACGGATAAGTCCATTGGTGCTACGTATCGACGAGAGGACAACCTGGAAGACGGAGATAATTTGCGAGTTCTGCCAAGGATGCATGAGCGGGCAAGGTGGTGATAGGAGCGTCCGAGGTCGACGACGTCACTGGGGGTGGTGGTGCACGAGATGGTTGTTGCATGGGAGTTGGCGCACGCTCTGTCGTTTTGTGGAGGTTCTGGAGGAATTGAAACAAGTCGGCCAACCGCTCGTTTGTCTTGTCATAGAGGGTCGGATTGGCTTGAACCGATTTTATAAGGGATGCAAATGCCTTGTCCCTCAAGTAGTCACGCATTTTTTGGTCTATTGCAAGCGTGGGAAACAAGTCATTCTGTCGAAATGCGGTCGCCACTTGGATCGTGTCCCTGACGTCTTCTCTTCCCACGACGCAATCGATATCGCTTGAATCGATTTTTTGGCCCGTTTCAAACGCCACAAGCGCTTGTTCCATGTGGCCACGGTAGTACAACGATTCCCCAATCCAAGCGACCGCAGACTTGTCGACTTTCAATGCAGTGGTTACCAAAGTCGCGTATTTCTCAGCCACAATGACATCTCCGGCACAAAAATGCATCAAAGCACGATCCTGCCAGCATGGTGAGGTAAGTTACTTAAAAGGAACGCAACCTGCGCACATTGGTCCAGGGCATCCACAATGGTGGTGTTATTCGCAGATGCAGCAGAGTCTCGGGGAGTCTTTTCATCCTACCCAAAACATATTTCATCCCACATGACTGCACTTCAACCAACCTTTGATGTAGCAACAAATCAGCCCCTGCTTCCAACAGTTTCACGACAACGTTGACGCGGCCGTTCTTTAACACAACGTGAAGCGGTGTCTCGCCCTGCGTTCGAATGAGTTGATTGTATCCAACCGTCACTGCAATTCGTACATTTTCGTCAGTAACGTCTATCGTGGCGACCTTCTCGTGAAGAACCATCACAGTGTCCTCGTGTCCATTCAGTGCTGCATGGTGGAGTGGCGTCCATCCGATCTGTTGGTAGATAAGTCGACTGCATCCCATCATCGCCACATCACATACTGCATTGACACTGGCGCCCTTCTCAACCAGGATCTGGACAACTTCGGCGTGGCCATTGATCGATGCCCAATCCAGTGGTGTCTCTCCCTGTGTCCAGATGAGCTCACTTGACTCGACCCACTTTGCTGCACATACATCATTATCAGTCGCATCGACGATGGCACCTTTTTCGATCAGATCCATGACGACGTCCAAGTGGCCGGTCCATGCGGCCCAGTGGAGCGGCGTCTCTCCCAACTACCATTTCCACACCATGTCGTTGTCCGTATGTTATTAAATGGACGAACCTCGCCGAGACAGTTGACATCCGCTCCATTTTCAACACATGCTTGAATCTTCGTCAGGTCTCCCATCCTCGCAGCCTCGTACAAGTCCTTGATGTGTTCTGTCGGTGTAAGCACATCCCGTGGTTCAGCACCAACTTTGTCCAAGCTCGCCAGATAGACCAAAACTGGCTCCAGCAGCGTCTTGTGGCTGTGATAGTGTGTGGGGTTGTCGACCACGGAGCGGAAAGTGGACATGGCTTTGTCGTTTTGGAGGAACGCCTGAATGGATGGATCTTTAGCCATTGCTAGCTTGTGCACTGCACCCGGTGAGAACTCTTGGGCTACTTGGATGGTGCAAATCTTCTCTAGCACCGCCGCACAGTCGGGGCAATTGCGTGGGAGGCCAAATGTTTCGGCTTCTTCGTGCTTGCACTGCTCGAGCAACTTGTCACCAATCCACACAAACGCAGACTTGTCGATCTTTAATATAGTGATGACAAGACGCGCATACTTCTCAGCCATGGCGAGGTCACCAGCGCAAAAACAGGTCAAAGCACGATCCTGCCTGCATCGTGAGTTGAGCCATGGAGATGGAAGTCCACCTGTGCACATAGGTCCAATACATCGACAACAGAGCCGTCATTCAGATGTACAGCAAGTTCTCGAGGCGTCTTTCCGTCCTACCACCAACATGTCATTCGTCACGACGAGTTTGCAACGAACCGAGTTTGTTGCACACAAGTCTGCCTCAGCTGACAACAATTTCTCGACAATAGTCACGTGGCCATCCTGCGACGCAGTGTGGAGAGGCGTCCACCCTCTCTAGATCAACACACGATGACTGCATACCATTGTCGCTGCATCATTTTTACCTTGTTGGACGCATGAACGTTGGCACCTTTCTCAACTAGCTTCATCACGACATCCAAGTGGCCATTCTGCGACGCAAGAAAGAGCGGCGTCTGTCCATCCTGTCTCTAGGTCAGTCGACTGCATCCTGTCGTTGCAGCACGTACTTCGTCCGACGCATCCATGTCGGCGCCTTGCTCGACCAGCATCTCGACAATTGTAACGTAACGTTCCACGGATGCGATGTGGAGTGGCGTCCATCCTCTCTAGGTTGAGACGGGTTGACTGCACACCATAGGTTGAGACGGGTTGACTGCACACCATTGTCATTGTCACTGGATCGCATACCTCTTCCGACGCATGCACATTGGCGTCTTTCTCGAGAAGTTTTTTTACGACATCCACGCGGCCTTTCTTCGTCGCAAGAAGGAGCGGCGTCCGTCCAACCTATCTCCAAGTCAGTCGACTGCATCCTGTCATAGCAGCACGTACTTGGTCCGACGCATCAATGTCGGCGCCTTGCTCGACCAGCATCTCGACAATTGCAACGTGACCTTCATCGGATGCGATGTGGAGTGGCGTCCATCCTCTCTAGGTTGAGACTTGTTGACTGCATCCAATTGTCCCTGAATCGAATACCTCTTTCGACGCATTGACATTGGCGTCTTTCTCGAGAAGTTTCTTCACGACATCCACGTGGCCACTCCGCGACGCAAGAAAGAGCGGCGTCCATCCGTCCTATCTCCAAGTCAGTCGACTGCATCCTGTCATTGCAGCACGTACTTGGTCCGACGCATCAATGTCGGCGCCTCGCTCGACCAAGAATTCGACAATTGTAACGTGACCTTCATCGGATGCGATGTGGAGTGGCGTCCTTCCTAGCTAGATCCAGAAGCGCTGACTGCATACCATTGTCATTGTCACTGGATCGCATACCTCTTCCGACGCATGCACATTGGCGCCTTTCCCGAGAAGTCTCTTCACGACATCCACGTGGCCATTCTGCGACGCAAGATGGAGCGGCGTCCATCCGTCCTATCTCCAAGTCAGTCGACTGCATCCTGTCGTTGCAGCACGTACTTCTTCGGTTGCATCAATGCCGGCGCCTCGCTCGACCAGCATCTCGACAACTGTCACGTGACCTTTTTGCGATGCCTTATGGAGTGGCGTCCTTCCTCGCTAGATCCAGGCGCGCTGTGAATCGCAAATGTGCATTCCATGATCAGCGTACCTCATCGCTCGAGTTGATATTTGCGCCATTGCTGAGGCATGTTTGAACTTTAGCGACGTTTCCGCTCTTCGCCGCCTTGAGCAAATAATAGTCATTGACTTGACTGTCGTTGTCGTGGGGCATCGTCGGCAAATTGAAAAATAAGACAGAACGTATCACCCTCCCAAAGGATTCACGTTTTATCGCCAAGCGACATGTCTAAATTGAGTTAAACCTATATTTCGGCGCTTTCTGTACGATACCTGCTGCTGGACGGTCAACGACGAAACGGTACGCTGGAGCTTCGAGAAATCTGTCAACAGAATCAAGTGATTGGATGACAAACTTCGAAATACGGTTGATATTTCAACCAAGTTTGGAAAACAATTCGTGACATCATGTTTGGATTTTCGTGAGTACTTACTCCTCTGGTCCATCAAGATTGTGCCATTGTTTTTCACTCGGTTTCATTATACTGTCTCGAATCGAAGTGTAGTGGGTTTTGTATGAGTCTTCAACAACGCATATTGGACGAGGTGAATTTAAATTACTTGTATTGAACGAATTAAATTACTTCATCAGGGCAATTGACCATAGCGACCAAGTGAGATTCGTCGCCAAGGCGCGTGACGACAGGTGTACATTAAGTCTCCGTCTCAAATACAAAGTTCCTGCCCATATTAGCTGATGAATCGTTACAGTGACCGACGGAATGGAACGCCACCCGAAGTTTCGACGAATGCAACTCTACTTTTGTCCAATAACACATCACCAAAAAAATAATGCAACCTGAT